GGCTCTGATGAAGTCACGTGATATTGTGACGTAACGCGTCGGCGTAGCGCGGTGACGTATTTCCGGCGTGGCGGCCATCTTGGTACACCTGTGGACTCAGCTGTACACCCAACTCATATACACATATCCTCAATTGAGAGCATGAGGGTTTAATGTGGACTGGCTGCTACGTGAGTTATTTTATTATACATGTGATGTTCCTATGGTATAATAAACCCTACTACACTATGGGAGGATCCGTTTGTTTTGTTCTGGGAAAGTGATATTTCATCTACACTTGAAGAAGAGCTGAGTGGGAATATTGTATCCTGAGAAGTGGTTCTGGAGTGCCTTGGTGCCTGGAGGATCTGTGAGAGGGATCCATACTGCTCTGTGACCCGCAAGGGTCGAAGAGTTGAGGTGAGAGGCTAATCCAGAAGGTGGTTGGATTCACAAGTTATCTACACCCAGATACCTGCACGGTTTTTTTTTTTTTCACCTGTGGTCACCTTACAGTATATTGGAAACACAATTTACCAAAATCATTAATTTTTTCACCTTTAATATTCCATTATTGGACTTTTTTCACCTAATTTTTCATTATTGGACTTTGAGTTTGCGTATATTATTTAGATATAACTTCACTTCACATTGTGCACGTGTGATGTTATATATGTATGTGTTTTTTATACACATGCGTATTGATTTAAGTTTGCGTTTTGTTATTATTTTTGTGTTATCACTTAGCACCTTTTATTATATTTTATTATTATTGTTTTTTGTTTTTTATTCTATTCCACATTCACTTTAATTAGTTTGAATGTAGCACAGCATTTATATGGTTTTTATTGATTTATGTTATTGTATTCCACATTCACTTTAATTTTTGAATGTAGCGCAGCATTTATTAGGTTTTTATTTGCACATATACTGTAACACTGTATATTTTGGTTGCTCTATATATTTGTATTGTACGGATTGTGAGATTGTACCTTTTAGGGGGTACATGTTGTTTGGTGGCACTGTAGATATCTATTGTATTTATGTATACTAAGTTTGTGCATGTTTCTGCTTTCTATTGAATTTGCAGTGGTTGATACACATTTATATATTTATATTTTGACTATCATTCACTATCACTGCAAATCACTGTACTTGTGTCACTCATTCACTATCACTGCAAATCACTGTACTTATGTGTCACTTATTTCATGATTATTTCACAGATTTTGTATTTATACTGTGGCACACAGTGAGCATTCTTAGTTTATTCCACTTATGTTTTTTTATTTTACACAGTGTTTTCACTTTCACATTTGTATTCTATTTATTTTATTTATTTTCATGAGTAGCGCTACATTTGTATTTCTTTATTTATGCTTGTCAGGATGCGACCTGGGGAGGAAACACAAACTTGGCTATACACCAGGGGTGTCCAAACTTTTTTCAAAGAGGGCCAGATTGGATGAAGTGAACATGGTGGAGGGCCGAACATTTTTCCGAACATTCTTTGAACCATTACAATTAAATGCAAATAAATTATTTTATGCCAAGTTAATTGCAAACGACATACTTTTCATTTCATAACATTAAGATCAACTGACAGCTGAGTTTTCAAAATGTATTGAAAATACATTTTAAAAAAACATACCTGCACTAATGTGAAGGGTGAAAAAGGTAGCTGGAGCTGAAGTCTCTGCTCGGCAGCCAGGAGGGGAAGAGAAACACACTTCACGCTGGAAGCCCGGCCCTGACGTCACCACCCTCTGTCACTCTCAGCGCGGCGCAGTCACGCATGCGCACTGCTCTCAAGCAGAAGACTGTCTGCCACAGAAGGGAGGGCCGTGCGACAGCTGCATTTTCACAGATCAGGGAGAACGCGCCACATGTCACTGCGCATGCGCACTGCCCTCTACTCTCAAGCAGAAGAGGCTGTCTGCCATAGAAGAAGAGAGGGCCGTGGGAGGGCCACATTACACAGAGCAGGGAGGGCTGTTGGAGGGCCGTATTAAACCGACCCCGGGCCGTAAATGGCCCGCGGGCCGGACTTTGGACATGCCTGCTATACACCAAATGTTTTAATATGGTGGAAACTCGATTATTGATATTTTCTATTTGGCCTCCATTAGAATATGCTGTGAGTATTGTATTTTTGATAAGTATACAGTAATTCTGTTGACAGTTGTAGACAGAGTTGTTGCATGACTGTAATATATATGTTTCAGTCTTTAGAATCCATATGTTTTCATGCACCCAGAAGGAGGAGTGGATTTACTCTGAAACGCGTTGGTTGCTGTTTAGGAACTCTGTTAGGTCGACACAATTTTGTACGGTACTATTGTACTCATTTGTAATCATCGCCTATTCAGTGTTTTATGGCTAATATTCATCGATGTTCAATAAAGATTGATGTCATTTTTACTCATTTTAGTGATGCCTTTAAAGTCCCATCTAGGGGGGGTTGTTTCGCTTATAAAATCCCGGCCCACAGCAGTCATTCCTTTGAACATTCAGCGCATGGAACGCCTGATCCTGGATCATCGATCGTGAAATTGCACAAGAGACGAATCTTTCTGTGGGAACGGTGAACACGATGATGAGGAAGTGAAGCCGGCTGTCCTAGGAGGGTTCAGGCGTCCCGACAAATCTTTCTATGCCGAGGCTTTCCAGGCATTAGTTACACGCTGGGATAAGTGTATAAATGTAGCAGGGGAGTACGCCAAAAAATAAATGCAGTTTCAACTTCTTTAAATTTGTCTCTTTTATCATAGACAGCTCAAAAGCCACGGTTTGACTTGAACGCCCCTAGTAAATTCTTCTATAGGTGGTTGACTGTTAGAGCCATGCTATCCCCCCCGAAAACAGAAATTTCTTAGAGAAAGGACAAATGTTTTTTTTTTTCTGAAATTACAAGAAATGTTATGTGGCTACTTTCTCTTTAAATAGAGTGTAGCAGAGTTCACTTTTATAAAAAAAAAAAAAAAAAAAACGTCCTCCCGCATCTATTCCCTGTGCGCGCTCCCTGGGAGTGCTTGGCACCGCGATCCAGGGCTAATTTCCAGGCGTTTTTGGGCGGAGCTCCGCTTTAAGGACGCTGGTGGGTGCTGACTACTTAACCAATGAATAGCAGAGCCGGCACCTGCTGGCGTCCCGAAAAACCAGATATTCGCTGCATATACATTGCGTCAAATTTTAATCACAACACATGAAAAACGCGCTATGCGTGGATTGTAAAATGCATAGCGTGTTTTCAAGCGCAGTATTGTGAAATCAGCCTTCAGGCAATGGGAAGTGTGTAACAACTGACCGCAGCCAATCAGAAATCATCTATCACTGACCGGTCTTCATTAGACTGCACACTATTGGCTCGGGGTTGCTGCACTTTCCACATAACCTCAGCTGTTTGTTACATCCAAGTGAGCTGCTTGGATTATTTGCTTTTTCTTAACACCCGTGAATATTAATTCTCAGTGAAATTTTATTTCCAAATTAATATTGATGTCGCAATATTTCTGCCAGGAGAAAAAAAACAAAAAAAAACTCAACAAGTTGCGATGGTGTCATTTCACTTACAGCCATCTGTTGAAAGAATAAATAAAATCAGAAGCCAATCTTGTTCCCTGCTGAGCCTAACATGCCTTTCGGAAGTATGGGAAACGTCTATGGTAAGAACAGATTGCCAAAGACTCATCTTGCCAAGGAAACTTTGATGATCACCTCAGCTGAACCCTCGCTGTTCGTATACCGGGGTGCGCAGTTCCTGAAGTTTGGCTTTAAACATCCCCGATCACAGGGCTTGAAATTTCCACTCGCCTGCTTGCCAATGGCGAGTGGAAATTATGGTGGGGGCGAGTGTGTCCCCCAGGCTCGGAGCTCAGGCCGGATCTGTCATTGGCCCTGGGAGCTGTCAGACTGCTCAATAGCTGAGCGCAGTGAAAGCAAAGCAAGGAGTGTGTGCTGTGCTCTCTGCCTCCCCTAGAGTGCAGTACCCGGCTCTGTGAGTGAACAACGAAGTACTGCAACTTTTTATGGGTGTGTGTGTGTACATGTACATGTGTGTGTTTGTGTGTGTGTGTCTGTGTGCGCATGTACAATTGTACATGTGTCTGTGTGTATCTGTGCATGTCTGCGTGTATGTACATGTATGTGTGTGTGTACATGTGTCTGTGTGTGCGTGTGCATGTACATGTGTGTATGTAAGTACATGTGTCTGTGTATGTATGTACATGTGTCTGTGCATGTGTATTTCTGTGTATGCATGTCTATATGTGCCTGTGTGTGTATGTATGTGTATGTATATGTGTTTGTGTGTGTCTGTGTACGCATGTACAATTGTACATGTGTCTGTGTGTATGTGTACATGTGTCTGCGTGTATGTACATGTATGTGTGTGTGTGTACATGTACATGTGTGTGTTTTGTGTGTATGTACATACATGTGTGTACATGTGTCTGTGTATGTATGTACATGTGTCTGTGCATGTGTACTTCTGTGTATGCGTGTATGTATGTGCCTGTATGTGTATGTATATGTGTGTGTGTGTGTGTCTGTGTACGCATGTACAATTGTACATGTGTCTGTGTGTATGTGTACATGTGTCTGCGTGTATGTACATGTATGTGTGTGTGTGCATGTACATGTGTGTGTTTGTGTGTGTATGTACATACATGTGTGTACATGTGTCTGTGTATGTATGTACATGTGTCTGTGCATGTGTACTTCTGTGTATGCGTGTATGTATGTGCCTGTATGTGTATGTATGTGTGTGTGTGTGTGTGTGTGTGTATGTACATGTCTGTGTGTGTACAGGTGTCTCTGTTTGTGTGTCTTTGTTGGTGGCAAGTAACTCTAAGGCCTGACTAGTAGCTCAGGACTTGAAATTTTAAGCCCTGCCCAATCACACGAAAACTCATTCCGCCAGTATTCACCACGTCATTTATTGATTAGCTATGTAACAGGTCGGGGGCTTTGCTAGAATACTCCGTCACCGATCAGGCAGAGGGTCTGCCCCCATCACTTACCTTAGTTCCATTGACATCTCCTTCAGCAAAGACGGTGTAGGACGCACCGTGGGTTTGAGGCGCCTCAGTAGTGATACGGACTGTTACACCGGGTAAGGGATTGCCCACTGATCCTGAAAGACACATGAGAACATACATGTGACCAAATGTCATTCAGCCTGGTATGCAAGGTCTTCTACTATACTCTATGGGGGTCAATTCACAAAAAGCATATCGCATGAGATATGTGGGTCATGTGACACATTTTACTCAAATATCTCATTCGATGTAAAAAAATTCACTACAGGTTTATGCTGCGTTCACTGCAAAAACTAAGAAATGCTCAGTAAATACTGCATGAACCTGTCTCAAAGTCAAATCACTAAAAAAAAAAAAGAAAAAGTATACAAAAACCAAATCGTTCAAGAAGGGGTGGTCTAGCCACATGGTATTTAAAGAATACTCGCTGTTTGTTAAGGGACTGGCACCTGCTGGTGTCCTTAACAACCAGAGAATAGCGCTGGTCGTTAAGGAGCCGGCACCCACCATGTCCTTATCAACCAGAAAATAGCTGGTCGTTAAGGATCCGGCACCCACCACGTCCTTATCAGCCAGAAAATAGCTGGTCGTTAAGGATCCGACACCCACCACGTCCTTATCAACCAGAAAATAGCTGGTCGTTAAGGATCCGGCACCCACCACGTCCTTATCAACCAGAAAATAGCTGGTCGTTAAGGAGCTAGCACCTGCTGTGTCCTTATCAACCAGAGAATACCTGGTCACTAAGGAGCTGGCACCCACCACGTCCTTATCAACCAGCAAATAGCTGGTCGTTAAGGAGCTGGCACCCACCGTGTCCTTATCAACCAGAGAATACCTGGTCATTAAGGAGCCAGCACCCACCATGTCCTTATCAACCAGAAAATAGCTGGTCGTTAAGGAGCTGGCACCCGCCGTGTCCTTATCAACCAGAGAATACCTGGTGGTTAAGGAGCCGGCACCCACCACGTCCTTATTGACCAGCAAACTGCTGGCCGTTAAGGAGCTGGCACCCGCCGTGTCCTTAACAGCCAACCGCTCTGCACTGAACTGTACCACTGCTAAATGTTTCTGTTCCCGCTATATCCCATCTGCGGTAAAATAACATGCATAAAAAACACACATAGCTGCCATTCACTGTCATTTGTTATCTTGCATTTAGATCTATTTACAAGACAGGGATTTCAGGTCACCACCAAAAGGCTCTATTGGAAACCTGAAGTACGCCACCTGTGGGCTGCATATGGTAAATAGAAACATTTACATGCAATATTTCCTTTTATAAAGCAGGAAATTGACATGTAAAAAAAAAAAATACAGTTCTACAGTCTTAATACACTCTGCATATAACTAGACCTATGGAAACATACATATTTACATACTTACTTACATACATCATATGCATTTCTTTCAAGGCAATCCTTACAATATCAAGGTATAGGAAAGTAAAAAGCATACTTTGGTTCATTGTGTATTTTTGGGGAACAAGTCGAAGCAGCAGCTGGGATCATTTAGGACTCGGGATGTTTGTTTTTTTTCCACAGCGGGAGTAATAGAAAACTCATCCTTGCAGTATAGCAGTCTAGTTTTGAGTTCCAGCTAGGTCGCCTGGACAGTGATTGGACAGTAAAGAATCAGCGGCAAGCTGATTAGGTCACCCCCACCCTCTCTCATTCTTTCAGCATGCATCTTATCAGCACATGTGCTTGTAGCACACCTGATTGGTCCACAGTGTACCTCCTCCTTCTCCCAGTCTAAGTGCTGCGGTACAATAGCGCCTGATACCAAATGCAGGTAATTACATTCTCAGCAGAACAGATCCATCTGATAGTTGTTTTAAGGATAAGTTTACCTCTGTAGCATGTTACATCCATAGTTAGGGTGCAACATGTTACTATAATGCACCGCCCAGTGCCTGTCTGTCTGTATGGGAAGTATTGAGGTACTGGAGGTACGGGAGATATTGGAGGTATGGGAGATATTGGAGGTATGGGAGATATTGGAGGTATGGGAGATATTGGAGGTATGGGAGGTGCTGGAGGTATGAGAGGTGCTGGAGGTATGGGAGATATTGGAGGTATGGGAGATATTGGAGGTATGGGAGGTGCTGGAGGTATGGGAGATGCTGGAGGTTAGGAGATATTGGAGGTACGGGAGATATTGGAGGTATGGGAGATATTGGAGGTACGGGAGATATTGGAGGTATGGGAGATATTGGAGGTGGAGGTATGGGAGATATTGGAGGTATGGGAGGTGCTGGAGGTATGGGAGATATTGGAGGTATGGGAGGTGCTAGAGGTATGGGAGGTGCTGGAGGTATGGGAGATATTGGAGGTATGGGAGGTGCTGGAGGTATGGGAGGTGCTGGAGGTATGGGAGATATTGGAGGTGCTGGAGGTATGGGAGATATTGGAGGTATGGGAGGTGCTGGAGGTATGGGAGATATTAGAATATTAGGTAGGGGAAAGTAATGAGGTATGGGAAGTATTGAGGTACTGGAGGTACAGGAGATATTGGAGGTACTCAAGGTATTGGAGGTACGGGGGGTATTGAGGTACTGGAGGTATTGGGGGTACGGGAGATATTGAGGTACTGGAGATATTGGGAGGTACTGGAGATTTTGAGGTACTTGAAGTAACTGATGTACTGGAGGTATGGGCGATATTGGAGGTACGGGAGGTATTGGGGTACTTGAAGTTATTGATGTACTGAAGGTATTGGGGAATGGAAGGTACTGGAGGTATTAAGGTACTGGGGGTATGGGGGGGGGGTATTGCGGTACGGGGGTGTATTGAGGTACTGGAGGTATTGGGGTATGGGAAGTATTGGAGGTATTGGGGTGTGGGAAGTATTGAGGTATGGGAGGTATTGGGGTATGGAAGGTACTGGAGGTACGGGGGGGGGTATTGCGGTACGGGGGTGTATTGAGGTACTGGAGGTATTAAAGTACTGGAGGTACGGGGGGGTATTGAGGTACTGGAGGTATGGGGGTTATGGGCAGATAGATGTACCGAGTGTCTGCAGGATCCCGCCATTGCACCTGCAATAAGCTGATCACGGGTGCAATACTTTACAGGCTGCAGTATAAAAAAAAAAAATAATAATAAATGCAGCTTTTTTTACCTGTAAAATAATATGCGTTTTTTTTTTTGTTTTATTACTAAAGGTGAACTTATCCTGTGAGAAGTACATCCCTGAATTACTTGTTTCTTTTTATATCTGCCTAGAATTCAGCTTTAAGGAATGTTCTGAGATAACAGAAGGATACATGGGAATAAAATATACAAAGCTTGACTTTTCATGCCCTTTGAAGTTGAGGCGGGGCAGGAAAGTTACCCTGCAAAGGGGCATTTATAAAACAGACGGCTGTGAACAGGAAATGGAGGTCCGTGTGAACATCTCACGGTTGCTCTTTACGCTGATCATTCTTTTTCTGGATTTACACTATAGATTTGCTTTTCTGCTGCATTTTTCAAATAAATATGCTGCGCCTAAAACTAGGAGCTAAAAAACGACACCCATCACCCCGCTATACAGAACAGGCGGACGCCCTCGCTGAACGCTTCAGCCCTCCACCCTCCTCGCTGAGAGCGGAGCTGTGTAATTGAGGATGCTGCATGTGCTGGGCTCAGGGGGGTCCACATGCTGCTGTGTGTGGAGGGGCCCTCGGAGAATTGAGACAGGCCGGTGATAAGACGCACTGTGATCCGCCTGTCACAATGCACCAGGTCCCTGCTGGAGCAGCCATTAGCCAACTGTGATCTAAACCTCCAATTAAAGCCCTGATTAGACCCGGAGAGGCGTGAGCTGCCCATGAATAATTCATAATTCTGTGCGGAACAGAGAGAGAAACTCAGGCAAAGGCAGCAGAGTTAACTCTTTCGGCACGCCAAGGCTCGGGATTGAACAGCCAGAGATCTTATTTCAACCTCTGCCTTCCAAAGAGCCGGCAAACCCCGGTCATACGTGTGTCACTCCCGGCAAACCCCGGCCATACATGTATCAGTCCCGGCAAACCCGGCCATGCATGTGTCACTCCCGGCAAACCCCAGCCATGCATGTGTCACTCCCGGCAAACCCCAGCCATACATGTGTCAGTCCCGGCAAACCCCAGCCATACATTTGTCACTCCCGGCAAACCCCAGCCATACATGTGTCACTCCCGGCAAACCCCAGCCATACATGTGTCACTCCCGGCAAACCCCGGCCATACATGTGCCAGTCCCGGCACAAACCCCCCATGTGCCAGTCCCGGCAAACAGCCACACGTCACTCACGGCAAACCCTGGCCACACATGTGTCACATACATGTGCCAGTCCCGGCAAACCCCGGCCATACATGTGTCAGTCCCGGCATGTATCAGTCCCGGCAAACCCCGGCCATACATGTGTCAGTCCCGGCAAACCCCGGCCATACATGTGTCAGTCCCGGCAAACCCCAGCCATACATTTGTCAGTCCCCGGCAAATCCCCAGCCATACATGTGTCAGTCCAGCAAACCCCAGCCACACGTCACTCACGGCAAACCCCGGCCATACATGTGTCACATCCCGGCAAACCCAGCCATACATGTGTCACTCCGGCAAACCCCAGCCATACATGTGTCACTCCCCATGGCAAACACATACACAGTGTCACTCACGGCAAACCCCGGCCACACATGTGTCACTCACGGCAAACCCCGGCCATACATGTGCCAGTCCCGGCAAACCCTGGCCACACATGTGCCACTCCCGGCAAACCCCGGCCATACATGTGTCACTCCCAGGAAACCCAAGCCATACATGTGTCAATGCCAGCAAACCCCTGATCCTCCCGCTGACACCGATGATGGATCGCTGATCCTCCCACTGACACCGATGATGGATCGCTGATCCTCCCACTGACACCGATGATGGATCGCTGATCCCCCTGACACGATGACACCGATGATGGATCGCTGATCCTCCCGCTGACACCGATGATGGATCCGCTGATCCTCCCGCTGACACCGATGATGGATCGCTGATCCTCCCGCTGACACCGATGATGGATCGCTGATCCTCCCACTGACACCGATGATGGATCGCTGATCCTCCCACTGACACCGATGATGGATCGCTGATCCTCCCACTGACACCGATGATGGATCGCTGATCCTCTTACTGACACCAATGATGGTGTACTGATTCTCCCACTGACATCAATGATGGTGCACTGATCCTCCCACTCCTACTAACCAGGAGCTATATAATTATTTTACTCCTACTGACCACCAAGCCTGAGACATTATCTACACCCACTGACACCAGGGCATTTGCTTCTCCAGCTGGCCACAGTCTGGCCCCTCTAAAGTCTGATAAACAGTAAATCGACCCTTTGTTTAGAACGTTTGGAGACTCTGGCCTTAAACCCAGGGGTCTTCCGGCTAGTCATGTGATATCTTTGGATCCAGTCCTAATACCATCACCATCCTGGATTCACCCTGCCCCCCCAACATATATTTTTGAGCTTTGTTTTACTTTTCTTTTTTAGCTGTCTTCAGATCAGTGATGTAATATGCAGAATCCCGGTCCTCTTCACCTCTTTTCCGGTGTTGGGTGACCTTTAACGATGCAAAGTGTATCATCGTACTTTGCATGTAGAGTGCCATGGTGATGTTCCCCTCCAAGGAGCAGGTCCATGTCACCCTGCACTCAGATGAGTGGATTTGATGACACTAGGGGGTTGATTTACTAAAGGCAATTAGACTGCGCACTTTGTGAAGTGCAATTGCACTCAGCAATGGTGCAGTTGCTCCAGAGCTTAGAAAATGAAGTAAAACTTCCCTTTGCCAAAAATACTCAATCACATGCAAGAAACATTAAAAAAACAAAAAAGCATTTTTGCTTGCACGTGATTGGATGACAGAGCTTTTTGCTCATTTACTAAGCTCTGGAGCAAATGCACTTGCAGAGTGCAGTCTAATTGCCTTTGGTAAATCAACCCCTAAGTGTCATTGAGCCCAGAAGAGGAACAGTGCTGGAGAGCAGGCTGGTCCCAGGAGGAGCAGGCAGGTCCGCAGAGGAGCAGGCCGGAGAGGAGCAGGCCGGTCCACAGAGGAGCAGGCCGGTCCACGGAGGAGCAGGCAGGTCCACGGAGGAGCAGGCTGGTCCACAGAGGAGCAGGCTGGCACACAGAGGAGCATTTGCTGGCACACAGAGGGGCTGCAGTCAGCAGTCCGCAGAGGAGCAGGCTGGTCCACAGAGGAGCAGGCTGGTCCACAGAGGAGCAGGCTGGTCCACAGAGGAGCAGGCTGGTCCACAGAGGAGCAGGCTGGTCCACAGAGGAGCAGGCTGGTCCACAGAGGAGCAGGCTGGTCCACAGAGGAGCAGACAGGTCCACAGAGGAGCAGGCTGGTCCACAGAGGAGCAGGATAGTCCACAGAGAGGAGCAGGCTAGTCCACAGAGGAGCACCCTAGTCCACAGAGGAGCAGGATAGTCCACAGAGGCTTTTGGATAGTCCACAGAGGAGCAGGATAGTCCACAGAGGAGCAGGATAGTCCACAGAGGAGCAGGATAGTCCACAGAGGAGCAGGATAGTCCACAGAGGAGCAGGATAGTCCACAAGGAGCAGGATAGTCCACAGAGGAGCAGGATAGTGCCACAGAGGAGCAGGCTAGTCCACAGAGGAGCAGGCTAGTCCACAGAGGAGCAGGCTAGTCCACAGAGGAAGTGGATTTGGTCTACACTAGAGCAGGTTGGTCTACAGAGGAGCAGGCTGGTCCACAGAGGGGCAGGCTGGTCCACAGAGAAGCAGGCTGGTCCACAGAGGAGCAGCTGGTCCACAAGGAGCAGGCTGGTCCACAGAGGAGCAGGCTGGTCCACAGAGGAGCAGGCTGGTCCACAGAGGCGCAGGCTGGTCCACAGAGGAGCAGGCTGGTCCACAGAGGAGCAGGCTAGTCCACAGAGGAGCAGGCTAGTCCACAGATTGGAGCAGGCTAGTCCACAGAGGAGCAAGCTAGTCCACAGAGGAGCAGGCTAGTCCACAGAGGAGCAGGCTAGTCTACAGAGGAGCAGGCTGGTCTACAGAGGAGCAGGCTAGTCTACAGAGGAGCAGGCTGGTCTACAGAGGAGCAGCTAGTCCACAGAGGAGCAGGCTAGTCCACAGAGGAGCAGGCTGGTCTACAGAGGAGCAGGCTGGTCTACAGAGGAGCAGGCTGGTCCACAGAGGAGCAGGCTGGTCCACAGAGGAGCAGGCTAGTCCACAGAGGAGCAGGCTGGTCCACAGAGGAGCAGGCTGGTCCACAGAGGAGCAGGCTGAGTCCACAGAGGAGCAGGCTAGTCCACAGAGGAGCAGGCTGGTCCACAGAGGAGCAGGCTGGTCCACAGAGGAGCAGGCTAGTCCACAGAGGAGCAGGCTAGTCCACAGAGGAGCAGGCTAGTCTACAGAGGAGCAGGCTAGTCTACAGAGGAGCAGGCTAGTCCAGAGGACAGTAACAGAGAGGAGAATACTGCAGACCGAACTGCATTTTTTGTTGTAAAACATTGACACAGAAGCGACTACCTGGCACTCTTGGTCCGTTTAGCGGATTGGTTAAAGCCATGCCAATCTCTGTCATGCCGTATCTCTCCAGGAGGGTGTGACTGGTGATCTCCAGCCATCGTTCCAGAACTGGCACAGGCAGAGCCGAGGATCCACACACCATTAACCTGAAGGGAGGAAATCAGCAGTTTTATCAAAGATACTTTATCTTGTCAACACCACAAAGCATGCAGCCGATTGGTGAGCTTCCAAGTCAGCTGATCCTGGAAATCCATCGCTTCTACAAAACACAATCCAAGACAAGAAGATGATTGCAAAACGAGCAAACAGTGTGAACCAGGCAGTGGGGACAGCGAATAGAATTCTAGGATCAATCACTAGAGGGGTCACCGGCAGGAGGAAGGAGGTCCCGATTCCTCTATATAGATCCTATCACTTGAGGGGTCACCGGCAGGAGGAAGGAGGTCCTGATTCCTCTATATAGATCCTATCACTTGAGGGGTCACCGGCAGGAGGAAGGAGGTCCTGATTCCTCTATATAGATCTTTTATATCACTAGAGGGGTCACCGGCAGGAGGAAGGAGGTCCTGATTGCTCTATATAGATCCTATTACTAGAGGGGTCACCAGCAGGAGGAAGGAGGTCCTGATTGCTCTATATAGATCCTATCACTAGAGGGGTCACCGGCAGGAGGAAGGAGGTCCCGATTCCTCTATATAGATCCTATCACTAGAGGGGTCCCTGGCAGGAGGAAGGAGGTCCTGATTCCTCTATATAGATCTTTATATCACTAGAGGGGTCACCGGCAGGAGGAAGGAGGTCCTGATTCCCCTATATAGATCCTATCACTAGAGGGGTCACCAGCGGGAGGAAGGAGGTCCTGATTCCCCTATATAGATCCTATCACTAGAGGGGTCACCGGCAGGAGGAAGGAGGTCCTGATTCCTCTATATAGATCTTTATATCACTAGAGGGGTCACCGGCAGGAGAAAGGAGGTCCTGATTCCTCTATATAGATCTATCACTAGAGGGGTCACCGGCAGGAGGAAGGAGGTCCCGATTCCTCTATATAGATCCTATCACTAGAGGGGTCACCGGCAGGAGAAAGGAGGGTCCTGATTCCTCTATATAGATCTATCACTAGAGGGGTCACCGGCAGGAGGAAGGAGGTCCCGATTCCTCTATATAGATCCTATCACTAGAGGGGTCACCGGCAGGAGGAAGGAGGTCCCGATTCCTCTATATAGATCCTATCACTAGAGGGGTCACCGGCAGGAGGAAGGAGGTCCCGATTCCTCTATATAGATCTTTTATCACTAGAGGGGTCACCGGCGGGAGGAAGAGAGATCCCAATTCCTCTATATAGATCCTATCACTAGAGGGGTCACCGGCAGGAGGAAGGAGGTCCCGAATCCTCTGTATAGATCTTTATATCACTAGAGGGGTCACCGGCAGGAGGAAGGAGGTCCCGATTCCTCTAGTGAAGTAAGATCTATATAGAGGAATCAGGACCTCCTTCCTCCTAATTTAGGTGCATGTCACCTCTGGGACTTATCTCTATTAAATATATGTGATGTTTATTGCTCTGTTACAGCTGTGAGAATAGAAAAGCACACAAAACAACTATGCCAGCCACTCTCCTCTGCTGCCCATTCACAGAAGCCTTTATTTTTTGTGAATGTCACATAATACAAAGGCTTCTGTGAATGGGCAGAAGGAAGGAAGGGGTGAGCACAGCAGTTCCAGCAACTCTGCTCTTGAAGGAACAGACCACAGGGAGCAGCGTCGGAGCTTCGGAAATTATCTTCCTGTAGAACAATAAACGTGTCAGATGTGAATAATACGGATAAATCTACGAGGCAGAAGGAACCTCACTAGACCTGACTCACGGTATGCCTGCAGTCTATGTTGGCTGGCATGGGGTGGTGACAGGGTCTCTTTAAAGCTTACATTTACAGTGGTTTTCAGGTATGCAGGCCTAATCTGACCCCAGAATGCATGGACATTTGCTTCCCACACAATCCTTGAATGCTGTATTGTCTGTTATTGACTTGGGGGCTGCAGACCTAACGCTGAATTCCATCAGCAACTTTGCAAAAAGCGCAGGCACACGATGAGTTAAGTTCATAAAGGAGCATGTCACCTCCGGGACTTCTCTATTACTTACATGTGACAGGTTTATTGCGTTCTTGGAGAATACACTCCAGCTGTGAGAGCAGAAAAGTACACAGAGCAGCTATGCCCGCCACTCAACCTCTGCCGCCCATTCACAGAAGCCTTTGTATTTGTGAATGCCGTCAAATAATACAAAGGCTTCTGTGAATAGGTAGAAGGAAGGCAGGGGCAAGCATAGCAGTTCCAGACACTATGAGCTAAAGTGTTACTAAACCCACAACAGTAAAATCAGTATGCTTGTTATACTCAATGTGGAACCTAAGGGGTTAATCCTCCGCACTGTGTAAAAAGGCTGTTTGATCCTGTCTTCTCTGATCCTCTCCTTCTTCTATTGTCCTCAATCATCTGCTGATAGTATAGAGGTCTAAGAGGCACTCTGCACATACTCAGTTTAGTGTGTACTGCTAGAGTTTTTTTTTTATTGTTTGGCAGAGTGCATGTGCATTTTGTGAATGACATTCACGGAAGCCTTTGTATTTTGTGAATGACATTCACGGAAGCCTTTGTATTTTGTGAATGACATTCACGGAAGCCTTTGTATTTTGTGAATGACATTCACAGAAGCCTTTGTATTTTGTGAATGACATTCACAGAAGCCTTTGTATTTGTGAATGCCACCTTTGTAATAATACAAAGGCTTCAAATAATGTGAATGGGTAGAAGGAAGGCAGGGGCAGGCATAGCAGTTCCAGACACTATGAGCTAAAGTGTTACTAAACCCACAACAGTAAAATCAGTATGCTTGTTATACTCAATGTGGAACCTAAGGGGTTAATCCTCCACACTGTGTAAAAAGGCTGTTTGATCCTGTCTTCTCTGATCCTCTCCTTCTATTGTCCTCAATCATCTGCTGATAGTACAGAGGTCTAAGAGGCACTCTGCACATGCTCAGTTTAGTGTGTACTGCTAGAGTTTTTTTTTTATTGTTTGGCGGAGTGCATGTGCATTTTGTGAATGACATTGCTTTGTATTTTGTGAATGACATTCACAAAAGCCTTTGTATTTTGTGAATGACATTCACGGAAGCCTTTGTATTTTGTGAATGACATTCACGGAAGCCTTTGTATTTTGTGAATGACATTCACGGAAGCCTTTGTATTTTGTGAATGACATTCACGGAAGCCTTTGTATTTTGTGAATGACATTCACGGAAGCCTTTGTATTTTGTGAATGACATTCACGGAAGCCTTTGTATTTTGTGAATGACATTCACGGAAGCCTTTGTATATTTTGTGAATGACATTCACGGAAGCCTTTGTATTTTGTGAATGACATTCACGGAAGCCTTTGTATTTTGTGAATGACATTCACGGAAGCCTTTGTATTTTGTGAATGACATTCACGGAAGCCTTTGTATTTTGTGAATGACATTCACAGAAGCCTTTGTATTTTGTGATTGAAAAAACATAATACAAAGGCTTCTGAGAATAGGCAGAAGCAATTGAGGGGCGGGCATAGCAGGTCCAACGATTCTGCTCTTGATGAAACTGGGACCAGAGTGGGCAGCATCGGAGCTCTAGAAGTTATCTTCCTGTTGGACAATAAACTCGTCAGGTATGAAAATAGAGATAAGTCTATGAGACACCTCATTAGATTTAACCCATGGCATGCCAAGTAGCTGAATTCCTGAAATTTGGCTATAACTGTAGCCCCGCACAGGCAACAATCCGATCCTTGCTTCAATCTTCTGTACTATAATTGGAGAATATTAACTTTCTGTATTGTGTGACGAGAGCAGCTCCGCCTTCATAAATCAGGTCCAGTGCTGCTCAGGTCACTCTGGCAGAGCCATCGTACCTGATCTGCTCCCGACACACGGCTCGTACAAAGTCTTTAACATGCGGCTGAGTGAAATGGCGATCGTGATATTCTATCAGTTTACTGTAGATCGTGGGAACAGCCATGAAGACGTTGATGGAAGGAATTTCTCTGCTAAGTAAGTGTTCCCACACCTAAATGGAAGACAAGAAGGGTCAGTCATTTCAGGCCGGTGAACAGGCTAATAAACAACATAAAGTTCTCTGAAACGGGGAGAGGAACTCTGGAAACAAGTGAAAGCGATTGGTCAGCTACTAATATCATTCAGCACACGGAACGCCAGGTTCACGCCTGTGCGTTTGCTGCGGCTCGCGTTTCTGCAGGCACAGCAGCCCATTCAAGCACTTTCCGTGGGAACGCAGTTCCGGTACCTCCAGCACTGAATGCATGTAATAGCAAGGGGTGCTGGGATGTCCTGGAAGGTCTATTGATGCCGGCTGACGGGGATCTATTGTCACTGAAGGGGATCTGCTTTTGCATTGTGGTCTATTGTTACTGGATGAGGGGGGATCTATTGCTGAGGGGGGAAGAGATCTACTGTTGAGGGAGGTGTCTATTTTTTCTGGCTCCTGGAGAGTCTATTGTTTCTGGCTGCTGCTGGGATATTTGTTTTTGCTGCTGGATGGGGGGGTATATTGTTGCTGGGGAGGTCTATTGTTACTGGGGGGGATAATTGTTGCTGAAAGAGATCTACTGTTATGGGAGGGGTCTATTGATTCTGGCTGCTGCTGGCAGATCTGTTGTTGCTGTTGGGAGGGGGTCTATTGTAACTAGCGGGGTGGGGGGGTTATTGTTGCTAGAAGAGATCTACTGTTGAAGGAGGGGTCTTGTGTTTCTGGCTGCTGGAGAGTCTACTGATGCTGGCTACTGCTGGGAGATCTGTTGTTGCTGCTAGGTGGGGGTCTATTGTTTCTGGGGAGGTCTATTGTTTCTGGCTGCTGGAGAATCTATTGATGCTGGATGCTTCTGAGAGATCTGTTGTTGCTGCTGGATGGGGGTCTATTGTTACTAGTGGGGGGGGTCTATTGTTGAGGGAGGGGTCTATTGTTTCTGGCTGCTGGAAAGTCTATTGATGCTGGCTGCTGCTGGGAGATCTGTTGTTGCTGCTGGGTGTGGGTGGGGTCTCTTGCTGCTGGGGAGGTCTATTGTTAATAGTGGGGGGAGGTGAATTATTGCTGGAAGAGACCTACTGTTGAGGGGGGGGGATCTATTGTTTCTGGCTGCTGGAGAGTCCATTGATGCTGGCTACTGCTGGGAGATTTGTTTGTTGCTGCTGGTTGGGGGGGGGTCTATTGTTGCTGGGGAGGTCTATTGTTACTAGTGGGGGGGATAATTGTTGCTGGAAGAGATCTACTGTGGAGGGAGGGGTATATTATTTCTAGTGAAGGGTGGAAATGAGGGGTAATTGTTGCTGGCTGCTGGAGAGTCCATTGATGCTGGCTGCTGCTTGGATATTTGTTGTTGCTGCTGTTGGGGGGGGTGGGGGGTCTATTGTTACTATAGGGGGTGTTAATTGTTGCTGGAAGAGATCTCTACTGTTGTGTCCATTGGTGGGGTCTATTGTTTCTGGCTGCTGAGAGTCTATTGATTCAGGCTGCTGCTGGGAGATCTGTTGTTGCTGCTGGGTGGGGTCTATTTTTACTAGTGGGGGGGTAATTGTTGCTGGAAGACTGGAAGAGATCTACTGTTGAGGGAGGGGTCTATTGTTTCTGGCTGCCCGAGAGTCTATTGATGCTGGCTGCTGCTGGGAGATCTGTTGCTGCTGCTGGGGGTCTATTGCTGGGGTGGTGTTTTGTTACTTGTGAGGTCTGTTTCTGCTGGCTGCAGGGTATCCATTTTACTGCCTTTCTTGTTATAATTCATTCACACCAATTCATTTTTTTTAGCGCTTTTTGCAGAAACGCCCTCCAGTCCATTTAACATTAATTCCTATGGAACACGTTCACATTCAGGCTTTTTTGAGCCGCTGCGTTTTTTGGAAAGGGTCGGGCGCTTTTTTAAAAAAGCAAAATGCAGCGTTTTTGCTACAACAGAGTTTAATGGAGAAGCTGTTGAAATGCGCAGTAGTGCGTTTTTTGCCGTGTTTTGCGGTTTGCATTTTGTTATTCTGCCCAGCAACAAAAAAAAAAAAAATTCCACTTTAACAAAAAAAAAAAAAAACAAAAAAAACTGAGCAAAATGCGGTAGAAACGCGTGTAGAAAAACGCAAAACAAACTGCAAAAAGCAAAACTGCACCGGAGAAAAAAAAAACAAAAAAAACCGCATAATGCATATATGTGAACCGAGCCTAAATGACCCCCCAGAATTCTCATTGGTTGTGTACTGCGAGGCGGGAAGCGGGTGGAACCAAGAGGCTGCGCTGGGAGATGGGTGGGGGGAGATAAGAAGTGATTCAGAAGGGGGGGAGTTCCGGCACCTATTCTCGGAGAAGAAAACCGTGCATTTAATGATGGATCAGAGAATATGGAGCTGCATTCATCTGCCTGGGGCTCAGCTATAATGATTTTGAACAAATGTTCATCTGCATTCATTGGCGGATTTTATATATACCGTATTTGCCGGCGTATAAGACGACCCCCCTACTTTTCCTGCTAAAATGTAGTGTTTGGGCTATACTCGCCGTATAAGACTACCCCTCTTCCAATGCACACCAGTGGGAGGAATAGTGCCCCATCATTGGTGTCAGTGGGAGGAATAGTGCCCCATCATTGGTGTCAGTGGGAGGAATAGTGCCCCATCATTGGTGTCAGTGGGAGGAATAGTGCCCCATCATTGGTATCAGTGGGAGGAATAGTGCCCCATCATTGGTGTCAGTGGGAGGAATAGTGCCCCATCATTGGTGTCAGTGGGAGGAATAGTGCCCCATCATTGGTGTCAGTGGAGGAATAGTGCCCCACCATTGGTGTCAGTGAGGGGCCCCATCATTGTATCATCCTGGAATAATAGTGCCCCATCATTGGTGTCAGTGGGGGAGGAATAGTGCCCCATCATTGGTGTCAGTGGGGGCCCCATCGTTGGGGGGAATAGTGCCCCATCATTGGTGTCAGTGGGGGGGAGGAATAGTGCCCCATCGTTGGTGTCAGTGGGATGAATAGTGCCCCATCATTGGTGTCAGTGGGAGGAATAGTGCCCCATCATTGGTGTCAGTGGGAGGAATAGTGCCCCATCATTGGTGTCAGTGGGAGGAATAGTGCCCCATCATTGGTGTCAGTGGAGTAATAGTGCCCCATCGTTGGTATCAGTGGGAGGAATAGTGCCCCATCATTGGTATCAGTGGGAGGAATAGTGCCCCATCATTGGTGTCAGTGGGAGGAATAGTGCCCCGTCATTGGTGTCAGTGGGGGGAATAGTGCCCCATCATTGGTATCAGTGGCAGGAATGGTGCCCCATCATTGGGTATCAGTGGGGGGGGGGGAATAGTGCCCCATCATTGGTATCAGGGGGATCAGTGGGAATAGTGCCCCATCATTGGTGTCAGGGGGGGAGGAATAGTGCCCCATCATTGGTGTCAGGGGGGAGGAATAGTGCCCCATCGTTGGTGTCAGTGGGAGGAATAGTGCCCCATCGTTGGTGTCAGTGGTGGGAGGAATAGTGCCCCATCATTGGTGTCAGTGGGAGGAATAGTGCCCCATCATTGGTGTCAGTGGGAGGAATAGTGCCCCATCATTGGTGTCAGTGGGAGGAATAGTGCCCCATCATTGGTGTCAGTGGCAGGGGTGCCCCATCATTGGTATCAGTGGCAGGAATAGTGCCCCCATCATTGGTGTCAGTGGAGGAATGGTGTCCCATCATTGATGTCAGTGGGGGGAATAGTGCCCCATCATTGGTGTCAGTGGAGGAATAGTGCCCCATCATTGGTGTCAGTGGAGGAATAGTGCCCCATCATTGGTGTCAGTGGGAGGAATAGTGCCCCATCATTGATGTCAGTGGGAGGAATAGTGCCCCATCATTGTGTCAGTGGGAGGAATAGTGCCCCATCATTGGTATCAGTGGCAGGAATAGTGCCCCATCATTGGTGTCAGTGGGAGGAATGGTGTCCCAGTGCCCCATCATTGGTGTCAGTGAGGGGTGGAATAGTGCCCCATCATTGGTGTCAGTGGGGGGTGGAATAGTGCCCCATCGTTGGTGTCAGTGGGGGGGGGGGAATAGTGCCCCATCGTTGGTGTCAGTGGGGGGGAGGAATAGTGCCCCATCGTTGGTGTCAGTGGGAGGAATAGTGCCCCATCGTTGGTATCAGTGGGAGGAATAGTGCCCCATCATTGGCATCAGTGACACCAATGATGGGGCACTATTCCTCCCACTGAGACTTGCTGACCCTGTTCTCGTATGGTGCTGCTGCAGCCAGCATATGTGGTTGCAGCAGCACCTCTACACAGAACACTTACCTGCTGCTCCGGCACTCAATTTTCGCGGGGCCGCTCGGCTCCGCCCCCTCGCCGGTGATTGGCCGCCTGTGTGCCTTTCCTGAGCTACAGTTCTGGCGGCCAATCACCGGTGAGGAGGCGGAGCCGAGCAGCCGCACGAACATCCAGTGGCCGAACTGAAGGAGACGCCGCGCTTCCTGGACCGGATCGTCGTGGGACTGGATCCAGGTAAGAGACATCAGCCCCTGCAAACCCCTGTACTTAATGCAGCAGCCCCCCCTAACATGTGTACCGGCGTATAAGACGACCCCCCGACTTTTGAGAAGATTTTCAAGGGTCAAAAAGTCGTCTTATACGCCGGCAAATACGGTATATCTGCCCGGAGTTCAGCCTTAAGGCATCTCCAGACATCAGAGAACGTCTGCGGGATCTGGCTGCCCGCTGGGGGACCGGGTGAATGCTGGCGTGTCTGCAGGCTGTGCCCGGCTGCCATCAGACATCCCCAGCCCTGGCTGTAGCGGGTGCAGTCAATCATAGAGGTGGCTGAACGCAACGGTTATCCCCATCTCCTCATCCTGCAACGCCTACCCCCTCCAATGTCACACTACTACCAGCCGTAACCTCCGCAACCTCAACCCTGCCCCCCTCCACTCTGCAGCTGATCAACTCCATGACAGCATCCTCCCCCTGTCCTGCCCCGACTTGGCTATGACGGCCTACAACAACGCGCTGTCAACAGCCCTTGACTCACTAGCGCCTTTAACCACACGCAACATCAGACCCCGACCGCTCCAGCCC